GTCATGGTTTCGACCCCTAATCTTTGCACGGATGTATGTCAGCGTCTTACTGTGTCGTGTTTACATAAACCAATAGCTGTTTCTTTTAAACACGGTAATTAACATTCGGGTTCTGTAACATACAGGGAATATCTTCACTAGGTGAGCGTTCTTCTCAAGGACTGCGGTCCATATAGATTGTTGTCTTTTGTAGGCAGAGGTCTTACGATGGCCTGACTACAGTATATGCAGTTCTTGCTAGATGTTGAAGAAAATTTCAGAAAGATCATGGCTTATAATTGACTACAACGTCTATGTAGTAGCAGCAATTATGCATACTCACAAGGTTACCATTACGTTAATCTCGCCTGTTTATCCACATGTAATGGTAGACAAGACAAATTTGGATTTGGTGTATGGTAATTTTATCGTGTTTAATATTATACTTCTGCTAGCCTAATACATCATCTGTACACCAGGAAGCGTGTTTCGTATACAGTAACCATGGCATAAATTTCAATAGGATCTTCCTCCACCCTTTAAATCCCTCCAGCTGTGAAACAGTACTACCAGCATTGAAAGCCAATGTTTCCTCAGGATTACACAAGCAAAAAAAAAGTCTTTTGACAATAAAATAACATTAATCCCGATTCAAATGTAATCGTTTGTTCTTGTTTGTTGTGTGGACAATGGCACAGGGAACTAGGGATCCGTGCCCAATTCCATGCGATGAATCAGCAACTTCAACAAACACCCCCCCCCCCAGGCATCAAGTTCATGCAGTACCCTACGGTGCTGCGTACTGCTCAGCTATGTTTGCATACAAAGTTGTTCAGTGGCGGCTGCAGCTAAGTAACTCTTATGTCCATACAAAGTGAAAGAATTGAAGTCATAATCATTCCTAAGTATGTTGTTAGTTCGAAATTACTAAATGGATTCTGATTAAATTTAGCACGGATGTATACACTAGACTCTGAGTGGCTAATTTAATTTTAGTTGATATCGGTCAGGTAATACAAATATAAATATTTCACAAAATAAAGTATTGTAAAATGTGTCATAAATGGTTCAGGATACGCAGAATATATAGAATATAACATAAAATTAAAAACTATTAACTACGAACTTTTTCAGTAGAGTAAACATTTTAATAAATTAAACTAAAATAATTCCTTAGTTTTGCTGTTATTTTATTAACTGAATTTAGCTAAAACAAAATAACATTTTTACCCGCAGTATACATTGAGATAAGAAATGACTAAATTGAAATCAACAAATAAACTTTATATCATGTCAATTAATAATGTAAGTTGGCAGCCCTGCGGAGGACCATAGAATATAAAGCTAATAAAACACGATGGAAACTTCGTACACAGCTTCTCGCTAGAAGCCGCAAAATCCCCGCTGTTTCGAAACAAGAATTAAAGTAGATTACACGCTGACTGGATTCACGATAGTGAATCGTTCACCGCCAAAATGAATCCACGAGGCACAAGCTGCCTTAAGCTCAACAGCACACTGCATTTCATCTCCCACGTATGGTTTTCAGTTTCACTATTACGCCTAAATAATTTTAAACTTGTAGCTTAATGGTTAGCATTTGTATCTGAATATATCACGCAAATGATTATCAACTGAAGCAACAAAACCATTTCACTCCGAAACGTCGTCGTGTCTTTCTTATGCGGAAAATCCACAAGAAATATTCCTGCGATGACAGAAAAAAAAGATATAAAATCGACGAAACTTAAAATGACTTATTATTTTATGAGATCTTAATAAATGTAGGCATATTTAAGCTTTACTTATTGACTATATACAGTTGTTAAGGAATTGTCCGTGAATTATTTATCTGAAGCTCAAATTGAGCTTACTCGTTATCTTACGATTTCCTTTACCATAAAATTTGTAACGTTTAATTACAAGTGAAAATTATCTTTGCAGACACAACTGGAAAATATTTCTTATATGACTTTCACTTTAACACCTTTCTTCACTTTCTGTATCCCTTTCACAAATTTATCTCCTGTATACATAATAGTTCCAAATGGTAGTAGCACTTATAAAATAGAAAGTTTTCTCATCTAACATAATTACTGAGAACTTGGTCCGTCATTCATAACACATACATATTCAAACGCAAATCGTATCCTCAAATAAATAATTTAGTTACTTTATCAATCTGTACTTCTGACAACCACTGACAAATCTTAGTTATCAAGCATTCTTTAAGCTACGGAGCTGACACCATCTTATGACCTGTC